GAATTTAGAGCAACAGCTCTCAAAGGCAATGGGGTATAGTAGAAGAGAGAGAGGTAGAAGAGAACATATCTCAAAACACAGAAAAAAAATAATAATCTCTGATGTCTTATGGCATACAAAGGGGTCACCATGATGACTTGATAGACATATTACAAATAACTAGGAGATGCAAACTATAAGGTGAAAGCATGAAGTCATAAATCATAGTTAACTACCTTGATTTTATCATTTCATATTGTACCCATGAATTGAGTTATCATACATTATCCCATAGATCTGTAAATCTAACATGTATGTTTTGAAGGGATTGTCTTCAATCATTTTGGTTGAAATAAACTAGATTTCACCTAAATACATATTGCTTTCTAGATTTTGGACATCCTGTCCAGATTCATTCCCTTCCATACAGCTTTTTGCTGAATTATGCTTCCTCAGCAAATCATATGTACTGAGTTACAAGCTTTATTAGCATACTAATGAAAATAAATATACTAAAGTCAAAGAATCAGTTTATCAATTTAACTTTCCAACCAAAATTAAACTGTATATTCTCTGGGGTATACAATTAGGAAACATGAGTTATGAAGATTAACATTTGCTATAATATTGTCAGTGAAGAAAGGGTAACAAAATAGTGAGAAATGAGGAAAAAGTATATTGACAAAGAACCCCAAAGCTGCATCTCAGAGCTATATATGTACTACTTGTGGTTAATTTATTCTCACTTGTTTATCAAAAAAGATTCTTAACATCATTGCTTAAGAAATTTTCTGTCATTTGTCTGTCCTGCTTTAATTTTATTATGTGGGAACATTCTTAAAGACAATAAAACATTGTGTGAATCTACACACGCACATGATACCAAATTGATATATTGCTCAATGTTGTGTTCAACTTCATTCAACCAGAAAATAAAGCTAACACTAGGGACCTTAAAAATATCAGAAGGCTCTGGGGTTCTTTGCCTATATACTCTGAAAGGCACTATCCCATTGAATTTGCAAAGGAAAAAGACACAATTGTTTTCCAAAGCAATACTACCCAGCAATTAGTTATGGATGCTTTGGATTTCTGTGAAGGAATCTTGAATTCTCTAGGGATCATGAGATGTTCAGGAAGACCAGAAGCTGTCAAGTCCTCTTAGCTGGAGTCACAAGCAGTAGTGGACACCTGAGATGGGGGAAGAAAGAGAACTCATTATTCTCTGTAAGAACATAAGATACTCTGAACCACTCAGTCGCCTCTGCAGCCCCCTTAAAAGAAATACAGCTCTGATGAGATGAAAATGAATTGGTTCAGAGCTTTCAAACAATCTATTGAAAATATATAGATACATTATGATACTAGATGAGACCAAAGAGCTAGTAAAATTCTCTATTGTTTCTAATAACCATATGCAGAGTCACTGTATGATGTCAAAATTTCAATTAGATGACCAACAATAAAATCTAGCATGACAGATCCTGTGTCATACCTTGTTAACCAAGGTGTGCTTGTCCAACCACATTGGGCCAAAACAGGAACTAGGTAGAGTACAAATAGACAGTTCCCACTCTTGTCTGTCATCAGTTTTTTCTTCCAGGCGGGACAAACACCTCATTCTGCTCAGACACCAGCAGTAACACTCCTTTATTTTAAGCTGAATCTCTTGATGCCAATGCCTTTATAACTCATCAGCAGCAAAATTTCATAGTTAATAATTTGCATCAGGATTGTTGCTGAGCCGTACTGATAATTTTATTAAGAGCAAGTGTTTTTATTTAATCTTGAAAAGCTAAGTATACATGATTTAAGTACCTTATTTGTTATCTGGAATAGATTTTAACAAAGATGTGGGAATGATTTTTTTTATTCTACAGTCAAAAATAATGCCTATGGCTTTTCAAAGTAGTTGTGTTAGAGGTATCTTTACTAGAACTGTGATTTATAAGTGCAGCGAATTTTCTGTGCACTGATGCAAATATTTTTAGATCTTAGATGAGAAGGTGTGCTTCCTCACAAATTTACATTGGGAAAGTCAACCTTATAGCACTGAACTTGAAATAAATGTGCTATTGGTGATCATCAGAAGAATATATAACTGGTTCATAAATACATTGAAGACAAGCAAAAAATAAAACATTTCATAGTTCTGATCATAGGTAAATAGAGTCACGTAGCTTGTAGGTTTTTTACATGCATAAAATATGTGTATATCTTATATGACACAGCAGTTTCCCTCATAGATATTTGTGTTTGGTGGAGACAAGAAATGTTTCTGGAGAATATTAAGATATTATGATACTACTTAATGTCAATAAAAGTAGAATTATATGACACTGGAGAAGTTTGTAATCCCCAAGGGCATATATTGATGCCTTTCCCCAAATGCTTAAACTATGTACTCAGCAAGTTGACATCTGAACCTACAGTGCCTTCAAAACTGGCAAAACTCCTGATGTTGTATCAAAAGCAGTCAGGGTTATGCTAAGTGTCAATCCTGAGAGCTGTTAGATAATAGAGTGCATGTGGCAACCCTTGAGGAACTGGCAAATTGCAGAAATGTGTGTCAGAAATTTCAAGTATGGTAGATCAGGCACAGTTCTAAATTCTAGTGCCATTGCCCAGAAGAGTTTAGGACGCAGGGGTGTTATTTCTTGGAAAAATGAAAAGGAAAAAAAAGAATACTTTTCAAGAATTGACAAGACTGTTATCCTTATATGACATTTGTCCAGATTGTGTCCATAATTACATTTAGCAGTCTTGTAGAATTTATATTCTGCATTGACTGCTTCATAGATTCACTTAGCAAAGCAAGCTAAGTGTGGATTACACATTTCATTGGAATTTAGAAAATATTGTAGGCAATACTCAGGAGAATATGACTAGTTATCATGTGATTCTTCCTGTAATGTATTCACCCCCACATATCTCTGTGGGGGTTTGACTGACGTGTTTCCTTGTGTACATAATCTTGTAATACACCTCAGTCTCTGTCTCTCGGAGCTTAGGGCTTTGAAGCCACAGAGACCGTGCTTACGTTTCAGCTGTATTCCCTGAATTCTCATGACACCTCAGTATTAAATCTCTAATACTGAGATTGCTCATGTGTAAGTGGGATATTGAGTCACAGTATCTGCCTACCAGGTTTTTATGAGTTTTAAAGGAAGCTAATAGAGAGTCATGTAACAAGTGATATCAAACATAGTCTATGTTGTTTTGTGTGCCTGGATTAGGGTAAAGAATGCTTTGGAAAGTTCATTGAAAACTATCTAATCATGCACTGTATTTTATCTACATAGACCTTTATTCCTTCTAGAAAAAAGAAAACTTTTCTCACTCATTAGGTAAAATCATTAAAAGCAAGCTAAAGGTGCTGGCAATTTGTCTCAGTAGAGTGTGCCCTTGCTATGCAAACATTTTAAGGCCAGATGGTGTGATCACATGCTAAAAGTTTCAGTGCAGGCAGAAGGCATAGATGGAGAATGCCCAGAGCAAGCTGTGTAGCCAGACTAACTGAAATAATGAGCTTTGGGATCCCTGAGGGATCCTGTGTCAACTTAGAAGATAGAGTATTTAAGGACTCCCAATGTCTGAACATGCATTCTTATACAAATACTTTCAAATGGTACACATTCAAGTGTGTGTGTGTGTGTGTGTGTGTGTGTGTGTTTTACTTAATACCTTTAATAAGAGAATGCATTCCAAATTATATAAATTGTTTTTCCCTATTTTTGAACATGGCATTAACTTATCCTACATTTACCATTATATATAAAATATGATGAGGAGACTTTAAGGACTGCAGGTTCAGTCTTGGTATTATTGATCAAATTTGATAGCAAATGTAAAATGTATAAAGACACTAAGGCCATTGACTTAGCCAAAACAATAGAGTTGTGTTTGGTAATATACAGATATGTCTCAGCACTTGAGACTCTCAGGAAACCTTGTTAGTTTGAAGCTACACTGGGCCAGATAGTGACATCTTTTCTCAAAAAGACAACAAAATAAAAACTTTGAATGAATGAATAACAAACAAACCCCATATAATGGAGGAGGCATATCTTAAAATATCCAACAAGGGTTAATCGTGTCATAGTAGTGTCCTGTCAAGGTGATAGATGAGAGCTTTTATTACTCTTGGAAAAACAGAGGAAGAATTCCTAAATTCCTAGAATCCCATGAGAGGACCTACGTGAATTAAGTGTGACAGAGGGAGGAGAAGCTAATTACTCAGAGCAATCATAGGTGCCTGCTTCAAGTAGGCTCTATGGTTTGTTCCTTATTGCATGGGGGGGCACAGGCCTCTTGATCTGATTTTATTATCATTTGGATGATATAAATAGGAGGTCCTCCTTTCTATAGGGGTAGTGAATCTGGGGTATGGGGTATTCCTCCATATATTCTGCATCATTCAGAACCCACTGTACTAAACATAGTAATGTCGGTCTTTTTCTCCTCTTTGTTTTCTAGACATGACATTATTCTCATTGTTGTTGTTCCTGGCTGCTATGCTGCCCCCATCTTTTCAAGATAACTATGAGGTATGGGTAAGGTTTAATATCCTCTCAGAACAGTTTAGGCAACTATGAAGGCTAGGAAGCTATCAGACCACTCTTTAAAACTATAAAAAGCCAGATTGTGGAGTAAGTCTCAAAGGACTCATTGATAGTTTAGAGTGGTTGACACTATTTTTAAAACTATGTCGAATGACCTTGTAGCCCTAAGCACAAGTTAATATTAAACAGAGGTTAAGGTCATGGTACACATGAATGAAACAGGCATACATTTATTACACAAAGTAGATATTGAAGATAGGGCTGGATGCAAATATAATACATTTTGATTCAATGTCAATTAAATTGTATTTTTGTTATAGTTTTTAAGTAGAAATATTGATATTAATTTAAAACACTTTTTTCTTTTTAATGAGTTCAAGAAATTAAAATTACACATGATATTTGGGTTATATTTGTATTGGAATTTTCATGTCTGTGGATTGATTTCTTAAATTTTCTGTTCCATGAGCCGTTATTATTTTCTTTAATCCATTTCAATGTGCTCCTCATAGACAACTGATATTATATTCAAATTTAGCATGGCTTCAACTTATTCATTTCTGTATGTAACTTTCATAGATACTGTTTGAGAAAATTATAACTACATTTACAATTTTAAAAGTTTGCTACAATTGAGACGATGATGATGCTTAGCAACATTTGCTTAGAATGCACAAATCCCTGGGTTTCATCCTTGCAATGCACACACACACACACACACACACACACACACACACACACACACACTTAACACACAAGAGATGTTAAGTACGTCTACTATGCAAACCATATGTATGTACATGAGGCAAATAGTAATTATTTATAATATGTTCTTATTTTAGGTAATCCCAGATGAGGTTCAGTCATCTTCTTTCATGATCGAGTGTGTAGGGCCAGCAAAGTTACTCTCCTTTTGGTTAGAAAGCTATTAAAATAGGAGGATTGGGCATTGCTGTAGCCTTCATACACTTCTTAGGCCTCTGCACTGGAGACTATTAGAATTCCTCAAGAGTAGGGAGTGCCCGTAACTGGTTAAACCTGTTTTCAAATATAAGTTATATGTCTTTTGTTACAATAATCAAATTTGCAATCTTGAAACCAGTTGTTATCTAGGTGTTCTTTCAAGCTGTTGGCATCCCCAGTTTCTTTTTTGAAAAAATAGCATTTTATGGCACTTTTGAATCATCTATTCTCCTTCCCTTCCCTCCCCCTCTCTCTTTAGTCTACTGGTACTTTTTTATAATTGTCAAGATCCAAATAGCAGAGATATTCAGAGTCCTCTTTTATGAATGAAGGCTTCTTTGAGAGCTGCCATGAACAACTGATTCCTCTTCAGGTGTCACTTACTATTGTACCTCTTGGCTTTGCTTTTTGGTGTTGTAATTATTAGGTCCTATCACCTATCCAATATAAACCCTCAAACAATTTATTCTCACATTTCAGTGTTTCTAGTATGTTTTTATTTTTAATCTGTACCACTGCCTCTTAAGAAATATAAGCACACTTATTGTCTGGTGGACTTTTTATCTTCCATGGAAGGTAGGATAACAAGCAGAAAATAATAATGACTCTCTCAGAAGCTATATATTTTGTCTTTAGAAATGCAACCACTTTAAGTAGGTATTCATGTTAAAATGGAATGTTTGGGGGGAGGGGCTGGAGTAGTTACTTGGGGGACACAAGCCTTTACTACTCTTGCAGAGGACCATTTGGTTTCCAGCATCCACCTGAGGTTACTTACACTCACCTTAACTTCAATTCCAGAGAATCTAGTATTCTCTTCAGACCTCCATTTGTATTACAGTCATCTACATAAACTTGAACACAAACATGTTTGCTTCATTAAAATATATGTATTAGAAAATGATGCCAATCCCTTAATAAATAAACATCTGGGAACATTCTTACTTTACATTAAAATAAAACATGAGAATTTGCAAGCAACAACTTTAACATGAACGTCCTTTCTGCCTTACAGAGCAGAGGTTGTGAGAGATCTCTTGGCATGAGACTCTCAACAGTGTCTTCAGAACGTAAAATATTAGGGAGAGATGGATATGTAGTAGACACTGGCAATGCAGTTGACTAGACCCATAGTGCAATGGCTGCAGAGTTTTATGGGAGTAAGTATTGTAGGAAGGAGAAACAATTTCTCCCAGCAGGAAGATAAAATATATGTGAGGGTCTGTCCATCAATAATCATGCTGTAACATCTTGCTCTTCCCTATAAAACAGTACATTTTGGAGTATATTTTTACCAAAAAAAATGGCTCTTACATCTCTGTCAACTCATAGTATCATTACATTTTCCTGTCCCACACAGACACAAATATGTAAATTTGAATATTAGCATCCGAGTTAACTTAGCTGGCTTACTTCTGTTCACTGAAGTATAAAGTCAGAAACATTCAACTGTTTTCAGGAACTCATTGTCTCCAAATTGACAGGATATGAGATAAACCTGTCTTGAGAGTGACCACAGAAACCTGTCACATATAAAATTCTCATATTGTAATAATGTTGAATGCATACATGTACTAGGTCTGGGCCTACACATTATCTCACAAGAGTCCAAACTCCTGGTAAGACGGCCAATGCTTAGTAAGATCTATTATGTGTCTTCTTCCTTAACACTTCCTTGCTAAAATAAAAATGAGTCTGAATGAGTTAAGTTTCTCTACTGTGTATGGCTATCATCACTGCTCTCTCTTAAGTCAAAATTGACATATGTAGGCATCCTCAGAAAAGTTTTTACTTTGACATGTCATGAATTCATTTATAGTCTGAAAATTCTGTTTAAAGTATTTCTTATGAAAATGTCATAGATTTTCTTAACATTAATTATCAAGGTTTAACAGCTAACATATTCATGAGTCCTTTAACAAAGACCTTCATTTATCTTATCCAACTTAGTCACCTTTTTGTGCAACTTTAACAGACACTAACATGACTTTATGCTTATTTCTCTTTAGAAACAAGACTTTGCAGATTTGTCAACCACTACAGAGTCAGTTAGAGACGAGATTTTATTCAAACACCTTGAACTGAGAGTATTGCTTGATCCACCTGGTAGTGACTTACTGAAGATGGTGAGGACTCACAGCTGGACACTGCATCTGGAGAGCTATGTTTGGAGCCTCCAGATAACACTTGGCTTCTCCTGTGTGCTTTAGGAGGGGCTGCCTCTATTCTAGCATCTCTTTTTAACAAAAACAAAAGTATTCAATTATCAAGGTTTAACAGCTAACATTTTCATGAGTTTTTTAACAAAGGCCTTCATTTATCTTATCCAACTTAGTCACCTTTTTGTGCAACTTAACAGATACTAACATGACTTTATGTTTATTTCAGGATTTGTCAACCACTGAAAAGTCAGTCCAAGAAGAGATTGTAAACAAACACAATGAACTGAGAGGTTCGGTTAATCCACCTGGTAGTGACTTACTGGAGATGGTGAGGACTCACAGCTGGACACTGCCTCTGGAGAGCTATGCTTGGAACCTGCAGATAGCACTAGGATTTATGAGGCACCTTCTTACGGCTGTAAAAATAGTCTTAGCACTTCCACGTGGTTAGTGCTACTCGTAGAACAGTAAGCACTCCAAGTCTTCAAGGGATCCTGTTGTGATTTCAGCAAGTCATCAGGCCATTAAATATTTTAGTATTTCTGATGACCTTAGGAAGACTGACTATTTGTATTTATTTGGTACAGAAAGGGTCACGTAAAAGTGGAAGTAACTTTGGACATAGATTATGAAACTACTAAGAAGATCGAGAGAGGGTGGAAATGGACTATAGAAGACACAGAAAGAACTAAACAGAACATGTGTGACATCAAAGGAAGGTTAGGAGTGGGAGGGCGTGAATGAGAGGATAAGCAGGATCAGGAAGATGGGGGAGGAAAATATGCAAAAATAAACTTATTAATAAATGTTGTAATGAGAGTTAGTAATATATATGCTACCATAAAAATTTAGATATATTCTATATTATATATTGATTATGATGACAGTCAGAAGGTGCCTACCTTTTTGCAATGATAAAAGTCCTCATATCAGCCTGTCTGCAAAGATCATGTGACTTTGAGGTCTGAGTTTTCACATGGCTGTTTTCTTTACTTTTCCTCTTTAGAAGTGGAACAGTGATGCCCAAGTAAATGCACAGACCTGGGCAGACCAGTGCACTTATCAACATAGTTCTCAGGAATCCAGAAAAATCAAAAGTATGTATACTCAAAATTACTTATAATAAAATAGAGAATAAAAGCCCATTTTATATCATGCTTAAAAACATTGTAAATAAATGCCTATTCTGACACTGCCTTTCAAAAAATTTAAGTATCTCTGCCTTTTAAAAAAGTTAAGTATCTCTGCCTTTTTAAAAAATGTTAAGCACTTCTGAAAGGCTCCCTCCATTCTGTGCTTGTTGAATGCTTTATATTTTACACAAACTGTCTTTCATGATGCCAGCTTTGATCCTTGTGACCAGATCACAAGTGAAACAAGGTCTGGATCATTGCTTTCTCTGTTTTGAAGACGGAAACTGAAGTCTGGATGAAAATAATTACTAATTAAGATCTTATAAAGGAAATTTAAAACTGGAATCTTTTATTTCACTCTTTTTTTTATATATATGCAAGTGTGTCTCTGTGTATTTATGCACATGTGCACTTATGTAAAAGTGCTTCTAGAGGCCAGAACAAGGAGTCAGATCCTATGATGCTCACAGGTCACAGGTTGATACAGTGTTGCTGTCACAGGTGGTTGTAAGTTATCCAGTGTGGATGCTATGAGTTGGGTTCAAGTCTCCTGAAATAGTAAGGTGCGCTCGTACATGCTCAGTCATTTTCCCTGGCCTCTGAAATCATAATTTCCATATTTTAATCTAGTATCTTATCTGTACACTATGAGTAGCTGAACGATACATTATGTTAAATTAAAAATAAACTATGAAACATAATCTTCACATAAGGGTAAAATGATGACAAAATAAATAAATGGGTAATAAGATTAAATATTTCTTGAAACATTAAATATGATCACCTTTTTCTCCAAATTAAATCTAGTAAATTAATCACCTCTTTTCAAGGTTTTACAACTTAGATATTCTTAATTTAATAACACAATGATTAAAATTTAACTTTAAAGGCTACAGTTAAAGTTTAAAGTAAATGTTTATTTACAGAGCTTGGAAAAAACCATTAAACTATTTTTTAGGGTTAAAGATATTTTCTCCCATTTTCTGAAGAAAATATGGTCCAGAAATTTTAATTTCCTAGTTAAGACATTACCTATAAACTGTAAAAATATAGTCCCTTCTCGTTTTGTTTGCTTTGTACTTGTAGTTTTGAAAGAATGACTATAAAGAATGCTCACACAGAATAAATATCCTAAATATGTAAAATGTTTATATAAGAATCTCTAGGAGATTACAGGAGAAAAATGGAAGGTGCTAGTCTTTGTCTTCTCTATGACTGCAAATTTACATTTATTTTACATGAGACTCACTCACATGTGAGTGCACACACTTGTGTGCGGATACACACACACGTATCGAGAATTTAAGGTGTGAATAAATGAGATCAAAGAGAGAAGCTACTGAGGAAAAAACTTTCCTACTAAGTGCTTATGGTGTTCAGCACAAACATGTTGATACCTCTGGCTACTGTTCAGCCAAAAGTTCTTTAGGTCTGAATCATGCTTGTTATGTTATTCAAAAGGAACTGCAAAAGATGACTTTAAAGAACAGGGATCCCATTCGTGTGTGTGTGTGTGTGTGTGTGCTCCACTTTTTTCTCTATTGCTGTCTTCATGAGTGGCCTATTTTTCCCCC